CTTGCTACCGGACTTGGTAGTTACGTACTATACGTACACCCTTAACACACACATGCGGTCTTATTTAAAATTCAAATGAGCACTATTCATACTATGCAGTGGCTACCATAATAAGAGGAGAGAGAACTTAATTTTTGATAGCGCAGTGGAGTGTGATGGGGTATGATAGTATGAGTATAAATACGGCCATACTCCACCGCACTCTACTGCGCCACCAAGCTACTCTCTTCTCTTCTACCACCGGCAAATACAGAGCGGGATCCCCTTCTCCTCCCACCCCCTCACCACCATTTCATTCTCTAGCGCTTATACGCGACTCTCTGCAGAGATCACCTTGCTTTTAAATGAGAGCGATTTGACGTGAAACCAAAAGTTTTACCCCATCCGAAGTCGTCTCACGGGCCCACAGAAGTTTTCACTTGAGAAAACTATCAAAGTTTTGTATCTCATTAGAATTAAAAAAAAATTTGATTTCTCTCGACTTTATGACGATTTTGTAACAACAGTTCTTTAAGATAAACTTATAAGACTATGTAAATTCTTTGATCAAGCGACTTGACAATTTGCTTTAGTACTAAGACAATTTTAAAATAACTAAAAAAGACAACTGTAATGACATATTACATTTAACAACATCGTTCATGTTTCTTAGCGTATTTATTAAGAAAAACGCTTGATAAAATCACCAACTAAACTTTTTTTGTGAAGGATAACCATTGAATCTTATCACTCCAAAACAACTATTAGTAAACTAAATGACTTTACTTAGTCTATTAACCAGTACATATAGCACTAAAAGTAGAAACAAATTAGATAGAAAATGGTAACACCGATTCCATGGACTCAGACAAATCTAGGAGTAAGTTTTTGTAAAGTCTTACGTTGTGATAACCACAATTGGCCTTATACACCTCATAATAATGTAGGAAAACAGTGGCCGGGTTGACTTTAATAGTAAGAGAACAACCTAAATCTGTGTTGTGACAAAATTTTAATTAAAATCTCTAAGACTTTAGTTTTCTAGTGGAGCCGAAAACGTGCACTTTTCTTATATGCTAAAGGTGTTCTGTAATAGCTGTTTTTATAGCATTGTGTGGGTAATTTTCTGACCCCCACAGTTAACCATAGGAATAGCGTTTCAAAGTAAGAACAAGTTTTTTCTTCCGTACTTATTCAACAGTTTGTTATCGTTGCTATAAAAATGGATCTTCAAAAAGAAAAACTAATGTCGAACTAGCATGAATCTCAAGCATGCTATGGATTTATCAAAGGTAAAAGAAGACTCAAAACTACGAGTTTAGTCTTTATACAACAGAACAAGAATGTGCAAGTTAGTTTTTACCACGTCTTTTTATTTTTAATCTTAAGCTTTTTCAAAACTTCATAGTTTGACGTGTTAGTTATCTTTTTTTTTCATTTGCTAAGAGATTGACTGTCCTCTGTTAAGTAACTGCTGAAGCACATACAAAACTTATTATACAGTTTTCAGTGCCACACAAGACTCCTATAACCCTGAAAACTTTATACATAACCACTCAGTTATAGTTTCTTTATAAAAATTAACTATATTACTGTCCTGATTTTCATTGCGTAGGTGTATACAGTCAAACATGCGTTGAGAAGTTGGCAAGTAGATTGTTTGTCACGGTACTGCAATGATTTTATAACTTGTTGGTGTAGTCAGAAAAAAATTGTCAATTGGATAATGTTTTTCTCTGTAGCTTTGCGTAGAAATATTACATTTAACTCTTGGTTCTTTCAGTTTGCGAATAGTTACAGGTCAGTATGAGCTAGTAATAATGGTACATTTAAGAATACTTTAATTAAAACTCAAAAGAGAACAGAAAAATATTTTGGTCTTAAATCAATTGTATGGCTACAATTAGTTATACTACAAAGTGGTATTATTGTTGGGATTGATATGAACAGCTATATGCTGAGGCTGTTACATATGCACTAAACATAAATTGATATATTGAACTTTTTAGCTACCCGTTAGAAAAATAATCACTTAGTTAGTCACGTTGAATTTACTACAACTATCAACAATATATGAAATTAAGTTTAATGTTAAAATGACTACTCAACCAAGAACGTTTATATATTTTAATGACAATTCGACAGGTGAAAAATATTTAAAAGTCGATATCGTGATACGCCGTTGGCTATTTTATTAAAAATTTATAGTTGGCATTGTTGCGAAAATAAACATGGTAGCAGAGCGTGGTTGCCTTTACTAGTGCCAAACAGTGACTTGAAGTCAAGCATTTGGAAAAGGCTTAAACTATTTTTAAGGATTTTGTACACCGTCGGCATCGACTGCACAAATCATACCCTTGGACTTGAGAGGAGAGAGTCGTCGTCAACAGGCAACACTTGGGTATTAGTGCTTATCATTTCAAGGCCTCCTTATTCATTGGCTCATGTAATTCAGCTCGACCAGCGTATCTTCAGCGGTATTTTGATGAGCTGGAGTTGGTGGGAGAGGTCGGTGTTGTCATACGTTGCTTCGGCTAAGGTACAGTGCCTCTTCGCTCTCTTTCTCTCACTCCATTGTTTTTGAAACATCTCGCACTCGTCGTCTTGAAGGCCAAATAGGTTGGTTGTTTATTTAGATTCAAAAGGTTCTCGAATTTTTGAATGCTTATACATCTAGCCTTGTACGTAACGGAATATTTGCTTCCTTTCGTTTATATCGCACCTTTCTTTTCGTTCGTGAGCAGTATTTTGTTTTTACAAGTTCGGTGTTTCTTTGGCATTTCATGAATAATATGGAAGAATTACTTGAAGAGCAATTAGTTAACTTTGAACTCGTTATGGATTTCCAAAAAAAAATGTTAAAAACTCCTAAAGAAAAGCGTTCGATTGGTTGGTTTAAGACGCAACTCGAAAATTTAGAAAAACAGTGGGACGAATTTTATAAGCTGCACAAGAAACTTCTAGCATCAAAGGAAAGATTTGAGGACGAGAAATATTTTGAGGAAGACTATTATTCCTCAGCGATTGCACAATATACAAATACGAAGACTTTGATTTTAGGAGTAATAAATCTAGGACGCAATCAGTCATCGTTACAGGGTGATAATAACTATGTCGATATAACTATGGAAAGCCCCTCCTATACATCCCCTCTACCAAAAATCATGTTGCCAAAATTTTCGGGTAAGCAACTTGAATGGGAAACATTTAAGGGAATGTTTATCGCGCTTGTACACGACGCTCCAACGATTCCGCCAATCTTTAAGCTGCAATACTTAAATCTCTCGCTCGAAGGTAAAGCGGCTAATCAATTCAAAACTCTTTAGATTACTGCCGAAAGCTATGAAAGTGGTTGGTTGTCACTTCAAGATCGTTACGACAACAAAAAAGTTCTTCTCGCAACACACATGTCTCATATCATTTCATACCCGTCTATGCAAAAGAAATCGGTCGCTGAAATAAATCGCATTATGGACGTCGTGCGCGAGGCCAAACAAGCTCTTGACAATTTGCATATTCCCGCTGAAAGAATGGGAGAGTTGTGGCTAACGCATCATATAGTAAGTAAGCTCGATACATCTACACGCTTAGAGTGGGAACGAGAGGCTGATAAGGCTAACGAATTTCCGACATATAACTCGCTCACCGAATTTCTTGAAAGGCTCGTTCGTGTGTTAGAAGCAGCTTCACCTGCCACCTCAAGTAGCTCGAACTCTCAGGCGAAGTCAAGCTCGCAAAATTCATTGAACAAATCAAAATCGGTAGCTGTGCACACAACAGAAGTTACCTCAAACAAAAAAAATGCATCGTGTCTTTGCTGTCGTGGAACGCACTATCTTTCGGCATGTCAAAACTTTAAAAATTTAAGCTTGTCTCAAAGATATGATTTTTGCAAAAAAGAGAAAATGTGTTTGAATTGTCTTCAAACTTCTCATTTTTCCAAGCATTGCCCTTCGCCTAAGCGATGCTTTGTCTGTCAGGGCAAACACCACACAAGGTAACATAACGATTCTCAAGGATCAACATCAAAACCTGCAGTTGCAAACGACTCTTTGTCATCGTCTGACTCTAGAGACGCTTCTTCAGTCCATTTTTCGAGTCAGGGAATTGCTAAGAGTGTTTCAGCAGGCAAATCAATTCTTTTGGCTACTGCATCTGTAGCGCTAGCAGACGCACATGGCCACAAGGTCACTGTGCGTGCTCTCATCGATCCAGGAGCTGAGAGATCATTCGTCGCGGAACACGTGCTTTCGCAGCTTTCACTCAAAGCTCAGAAAATCTCTCGCTTGAAAACTGGCGTGGGAGCTGAGGTAACTTCGATCGCTCGAAAGGAAGTAAGTATCTCACTGCTCTCTAACGTCGATAAAAATTTTGTCATTCAGTTTTCGGCTTTGGTGTTGGAAAAACTCACTAATCTCTTGCCAAAAGTCAAAGTTGATCAAAACCAATGGTCACATACGAAAAGTCTCAACCTGGCCGATCATTTATTCTTTAAGCCAAGTTGAATCGATTGCATCCTTGGTGCAGATGTTTATTTATCAATCATCATTGACGGCTTAGTGAAAGGTCCAGCGAGAACCCCAATAGCTCAGAACTCTGTGTTTTGATGGATTCTGACAGGAGCTCCTGCGAATAGTCAATCGTGTCATCATTCTTCAGTTCAGGTGTTTTACACATACACTGAACCCTCTCTCGATAAATTCATGGAGAAATTCTGGGAGATAGAAAAGGTCCCTCAAAAAAGACACCTTACCCCAGAAGAGCAATTTTGTAAAGATTACTTCTCTCTTACTTACACTCGTAACCCTTAAGGTCGTTTCGTCGTTCGACTGCCATTTTTTAAGCAAGTCTCGTTTTCTGGTTCGCGAGATATAGCCGTAGCTTGTCTCTTTCGCTCTGAAAAGCGTCTAAACAAAAATCTACTCCTCGCCGACAAGTGCAAGGCTTTCATGCAGGAGTACTTGGATTTAAAGCACATGGAATTAGTCCCATTAAATTAAATTTCACGTGAAGCTTACTACATGCCTTATCATGCAGTTTTTAGACAAGATAAGCCTGAAAAAATCAGGGTAGTATTCAATGGCAATTTCAAAAATTAGTTTTTGTTACTGATATTATAAAAATGTTTCGATAGATTCTGATTTATCCTGATGATGCAGACTGGCAGCGCCTTGTGTGGCGATCTTCAGTTGCGCAGCCTTTGCAGGATTATAGAGCGCTTACCGTCACCTACGGCAAGGCTCCAGCACCTTATTTGGCTCTTCGAGTACTCAAACAGCTGGCTCAGGACGGCCGTACGACGCATCCAGAGGCATCTAAGCTTCTGGACCATCAAATCTACGTGGACGACAAATTCGGAGGCGTGAACGAGGTCGACTTAGCTATCGAACGACGTGATCAACTGATCCAGCTTATGGCATCAGCAGGGATGGAGTTGGGTAAATGGTCAGCAAATAATCAAAGTCTTCTTGATGGAATTGTAGCTGGCAACATTGATGAGGTCCCCGTCGACGTGGATGAGGTGGTATCAACAATAGGTCTCAAGTGGCTTCCTCAAGCAGATAATTTTATTTTTAAACCTACACTAGCCCCCTCTCCATCGATCATAACAAAGAGAATTATTCTCTCAGAAACTGCTAAATTATTTGATCCATTAGGTTGGCTTGCACTGGTCATCGTAACTGCAAAAATCATGATGCAGGATCTATGGATCAATAAGTTCGATGGAGACGTACCGATTCGAGGAGATCTCTTGCAGCAGTGGATGAAGTTCCGTAACTCTCTGACAAAATTAGACGTCATTAGAGTGCCGAGATGGATAGGTTGTTCTGAAACATTTTTTTGGCAGCTTCACGGTTTTGCTGACGCTTTAAAGCGAGCCTACGCTGCAGCAGTCTATGCTGTAGTTTCTGGTCAATCTTCGGTTCTTCTTATGGGCAAAACAAAGGTCGCTCCAACAAAAATGAAGACTCTTCCTCGGTTGGAGCTCTGTGGAGCACTGTTGTTTGTTCGCCTAACTAAGCACCTGCTACCTAAGCTGCATCGACAACCACAGTACATTCACTTCTGGTCCGACTCCAAAGTCGTGCTGAATTTGCTAAAAGGTCATCCATCAAGATGGCAAACCTTCATCGCCAATCGAGTAAGCGAAATTACATCTTTGTATCCACAAGCTGAGTGGCGACATGTTATGTCCTCGTACAATGCTGCCGACTGCGTAACTTGAGGACTTACGCCTCAGCAACTCTCCGAACATAGCCTGTGGTGGTCAGGACCCATATGGATGACGTCACCACAATTGACATGGCCTTTAACAACAGATGATGACTACGCCGATCAACAGAACATTCAAGCATTGGTAATGCAGGAGGCAGCTTTACAAAAGCATGTCGACGACGACTGTCTGATATATCTGCAACGCTTCTCTAGTTTTGCTAAGATACGCCGTATCCTTGCCTATTGCGCGCGATGGATACTCAACGCTCGTCAGATAACTGACAAACGTCAAAACACTTACCTATCAGCTCAAGAGCTTTCTTGGGCTTCTGCCGCTTGTTTTAGAGCACTACAACGTCGACATTTTCCCATCGAATTGGAGCAGCTACAGGTCAACAAACTACTTTTTAAGCGAAGCAATTTGGTACGATTGGCACCCTATTTAGACGAGATTGGCCTCATTAGAGTTGGCGGCCGTTTAGAAAATGCTCCACTTCCATACAGTGAGCGACACCCTATCGTCCTGTCTGGCAATGACACAATCGTAAAGCAACTTGTCCAAGATACACACATTAATACACTGCATGGAGGAGTACAACTCATGCTCTCACAGTTGTACCGAACTGTGTGGATCACACGAGCCCATCAGGTCGTCACACGAGTCTACCGGAATTGCTACAAGTGCATCAGACACAACCAGAAAAGTGGACATCAGCAGATGACTGCACTACCAGCTCAAAGAGTTACTTCACTTCGTCCATTCACCATAACTGGGATAGACTACGCAGGGCCAATCCCAGTGCTTTTCTCCAAAGGTCGGGGTGCAAAAAGCACGAAAGGATATGTAGTAATTTTTGTTTGCTTTGTAGTCAGAGCTGTCCACATCGAGATCATGTCTGATCTTACGACCGACGCATTCATGGCTGCGTATGATTGCTTCACAGCTCGATGAGGAGTCTGCGACACGATCTACTCAGACAACGCAACAACGTTTAAAAGGGCATCGGCGGAGCTCGCACGCATGTTTTCTGAGACCTCTGAGTTCAACAAAACGGTCGCTGGTCAACTTGCAACTAGAGGCACAACATGGAAGTTTATTCCACCACGAGTGCCCCACTTTGGCGGCCTATGGGAGGCTGCGGTACGCAGCTTTAAGTATCACTTCAAAAGAGTAATTGGCGACTCCAAGCTTACTTTTGAACAGCTTTCTACGCTGGCAGCTAAAGTTGAAGCTTGTCTAAACTCTCGCCCTCTATCCCCATTGAGTACAGAGCCCATCTAACTAACAGCTTTAACACCAGGGCACTTTCTCATTGGTTCATCGTGCCTCTTACATCCAGAAGAAGTCGAGAAAACGTTGCAGTTGAGCACTAGTAATCGCTGGAATTTGCTATGCCAAATGCGCAACTCTTTCTGGAAACGTTGGAGAGGCGAGGTTTTACAACAGCTTTAGCAACGTAACAAGTGGTTACATCCTCAACCCAATCTACAAATAGATGATATTGTACTGTTAAGGGATGATCTTACTCCGCCAAAGAAGTGGCCACTTGAAAAGAGTCACGACGCTCCATCCTGGTAAGGACGGACTCGTCAGAGCAGTCACGGTCAAGACGGCTGATAGTAGCTTTGTACGCCCTATCGTTAAGCTAATAAAGCTCCCAGTCGACAAGGACGTTAATGATACCTACCAGCAGCTACAATTAACGAATACAACTTCTTAACAATCCATGTGAAGTGATTTCAGCAAATTCAACAAAAAATTGACATTTTAATAATTAAAAAAAATGTACTAGTATCGATTTTTTTCTCTTTTCAAACAATTTTTTTTCTANATAATTTAAAAAAAAAATTGTACTAGTATCGATTTTTTTTCTTTTTTTCTTTTCAAACAATTTTTTTTCTAATCGAAGATTCGTTGTGTATTTTTTAGTTTTGTGCAACTTAATTACATATTGTAAGAGGATGAGCGATCCTCATTCGCTTGTCTTGCCCTAGCATAAAAGAGAAATTTCAGTTTTACATTCTTTTTCTTTTTCATGAATTTTATATTCATTTTTTCTCTTTGTTTCGAGTTGCATACATATAAAAACTTGTATTTTTCAATAATTAATTTGCTGTGATACAGGAAGGTGGGCGGTATGTTCACGAGAACGCGTTTTTAAAATGTAAACAAAGACCCTGAAGCTGCTGTTGCTGGTTGCGAGAGAGTACGGCCGAACTCAAACACATTCTTAGACGTCACATCCATGAACTAGCTCTTACACTTACATGTAAATTTACCAGCAAGTACAATTTCGGCTATACTGGCTTTTCTCGCTCGCAGGCACGAGCAGTAAGGCTTTGTCTCTCGAGCAGATCAATCACTCAGCAAAGCATAGTTGCGTCGTTAACGACCTTTTGCGACTTCTAACGTCGAACTTACCGAGTCTCGCTCAGCTCAAAGATTGTTCTGTTTTATTGTTTTTTTTTTCTTCTAATTAATTCATCTTGTTAATACTTTTAGTTGTTTCTGTTATTCCATTTTCAAACAAGCAAGCAAGCACACATATTTTTGTTATATTTTTAAGTTTATATTTATTGTTACCTGTTTGTTAATAAATCTGGTTTCAAAAGTTAAACGAATCAAGTGCGTGGTTTATTTATATTCTCGAGTTTCTTGCGAGATTTTGTCAAGCCCTCGAAGAAACGCTTTTAACGCTGTAAAGGCAATACTTTAATCTGGTGGCATAAAAGTCGATATGGCGATACGCCGTTGGCTATTTAATTAAAAATTTATAGTTGGCATTGTTGCAAAAATAAACAATATTGTAGTTCTTATACAAAAGCAGTTTGAGACAAACTTACTGTCAATATTTCATGAAAGCTCAAAAGTGTGTAAATGGTTTTAATCTGTAACATTTTCTTATGTACTTTTTTAAAGGAATTGCATTTGTAAGTAATAATATTTATGAAAATTACAATTCTTATATTTAACTTAGACATACTTAATGTGGTCAACTCCTAAGTTTAGCTGAAACTGATGGGTGGTTGTGGATTACCAAAACTATTGAAATATACAACATTATCACAACGTTTTTGGTGTGCTACCTAGTGTATTCTAGGACCACCCGTATTATCGAGATTACTTACTGCACTTTCACTTTCAGGATAACCAGGTATATTAATTAGTAAGTTATTTTATTTATACACCCTACAAAACAGGGAGTTTTGTATTTTTTCCCTTTTTTAATTAATAGATATTCGTCAGATTACTATTACAAAACTTTGCTTGATAATTCTTTTTTTTAATGTCTTACTGCATATGACTGTCAATAGACACCTTGTTTAATTTTATGTGGTCAAAGTTTCCGTCCTTTCCCAAGCTTGATGGCCTCTCTAATGTTATCGTATTCTCAGCTATTTTGCATCTGCTACTAAGCAAAGTTACTTGCACTTAAACTTTTTTTTATGTTTTAGCTGTACTAAAAGGTGTTTGCTTCTTGTTTAAATTCTTCATAATGCTACCTTAATAATTGTCCTTAATTCCAAGCACGGTTTCTTCGTACTTTGTACCCCTATACTCAATTTACTTTTAAGCCTTATAGTACTCACAATAATTTTCGGCTGAAACTCTGCTCTTGACGTTGTCACGATTCTGCAAACAGGTTGTATCGTGTTTTTTGCACGCTGCGTGTACTGGATTGATTAACTTATTACCTCTATCAAGACGTTTAACAAGTTTACTTTCAGGGCCACAGTGATGGTAGCCTGGTAATTGTAGTTCTACAGGTCAAGTATGTACAACCCTATTTATAACAGTGTGTCTACTTGCACGATAAGCAATCATCAAACTTCAGTTATTAAATGATGACGAATCATTTGGGTCTAAAAGCACAGTATTTGTAGCTTCCAAGTAATGAGATCACTATGTATTAAATTATCAGATCAGTGGTTATTTAACTCAATTTTGTGCAAACATTCAGTTTCAAAAATAAACTAAAAAATTTAAAGCTCTGAGCTTTGATGGTGGGTTGAAACAGGTTAATTGTTCGAATCAATATGGTGAATTACTCCAAGATAGTATTTGAGCTTTATTCTGTAGCTCATGCAACTAAGAAAACATAATCAGTCTATTAGCACTAGTTACAAGCATCAATTAACTAAGGTTGTGAAAGCGTTATGTTGTACTTAAGGTCACTCAAGATCTTAAAAGTGCTGTTAGAGCTCGTTAATGACATACAATTCTTAGCGTTTAGCTAGCATAAAACCATGTATGTCCTGTTGATGCAATACCTAACTCAATCTTGATTTTTACGATACAGCTCGTGAAAACAGGATAATATAAGAGCTGTGTACAATGTAGGAAAACACAAGAATGGAAACGAGATGAGCTGAATTTAAAGCATCTGTATGATTATCACATTATCGCTTGGATGCCGTATACTTAGGTTGAAGATCCCTGCACAATGTATAAAAATAATGTCAAATACGGATTCGTTGTCATCAATGAGCATGAATCACCATGGTCAGCATGACAAAGGTTTTAATAATTTCACTATGAATATAGGTAGCTCGTAGAGCACTGTTCAGTCTCCTTCGAGATGTTAGGACATTAAGGTATACAAAAAAAAATAAACTTACTATAACAATTAGTGAAAGCTAGAGCTGTCAAAAAAATCTGTGAATTAACAGAATTAAGAACAAATAACGTTCAAAAATCTTGGGTAAGATCATTAAACCTATAAATTGAATTATAACTTAAACGAAGACAAAATCGTTTAGTAATTGACGATAAACTGTTCACCTTCAAGTCACTATTAATGAAACGAATGAAAAAAAATAATCACAGTGACAATGATACGATGTTTCAGTCGGCTGTTAGTGTAAATGAAAATGAGAATAATTATTAATTAAGTGACATCTCATAAAGTTAACCTTATGACAATGTGTGTTTACTAATATTTAATGATAATTAAAAAGATTCATTAGATTTGATTTCAAAAGCGTAAAGAAGTAGATAATAAAAGCTCAATAATTTGTCGATGGATTTTAAAAATAAACAAATTACGATGTTTTGGTCAAGCTTATCGATAAATAATGGACTAATAAAGGCAATAGTACTCTGATGGACCTTGAATGACTGGAGATGATTTAAAAAAATATAACATGCTCTTAAAACCTTAAAGGGCTTAGAAAAAGGACAATAATAAGAGATAGATCCATCAAGACACACTATAGTAGTAATGAAACGATATTCTAGCCCATATGTTGGATCTTATTTCCAGTAGAAAGGACCAATCATTGTTCTTTCAGTTCAGAATCGAGAAAATTGAAATATATTTTACGATCACCTCTGATTAATTAAAGCAAAAATATATGCGGAAATATTAGCCACGATAATGGGATAGTATCGACAATTAAAGAGTTGCATGAAGCTTGATATATGTGCTGAAGCTGGTGAGCGTTAACTTTAGTAGCAAAATAGGCATCAATGTGTTTAGATGTCAGAGTAAAGCCGATAGCCAGGTTTCTTCTGATCCTCCAGATACTAGCAATAAACTTACTACAGATTTACGATATAATGTTAAATATAAAAGACTGTGCAATGTTTCAGCAGCTTACCACCAAAGTGATGCGACGAGTCTCAGCATTTTTCAGAAATAATAAAAATACTTAGAGATAAGCAAGGTAAAAAGCTAAAAAAACTACAGTGATGTGTGCTAAGAAAATTACAAAATTTAAAACAGGAAATAAATACCATGAAATAGGTGATCTTCAAGATATCTATTGAAACTCTGAAAAAATAATTAAACTTATTTTAAGACTAGTGGTCCAAGGACTTGAGTTTCAGTTGACTATTAGCGGGCAATAAAGATGAATCGTAAAAAACTCTTCTTAGCCATTTTTAAAAACTAATACTTATTATTTCACCTGTTAACAAAATAGTTGATACATTTGGAATTGCACTTAGAATTCTATTTTAAATTACTTATAAAGGTTTGGTTTGGAGAAGCCATCAGTAACTTTAAGTGGAATTCCAAGTAATATTACAAGTAACAACTAAATTCGATTTTTTAAAACAGCAAAAAAATAAAAGAAGCAACTTTATGCAGCGTCATAATCTTAGTAGTTATTACCACGCGTATGGTAACACTAAAACAGAGAGATTTTGTTTGTTTTAGATAAAAAAAAAAAATACAAAACAAATTTTTAAGAATTCAAAAAAAAAATTTAATTCCCTTTGTTTTAGTGTAACCAAACATGCTGTAATATCTTACAAGATTCTGATACTGCATGCAACTG